GTAATCCTCACACCAGCCTGGTGAGGAGGGCCTATTGTTATCCCTGTTTTCAGGTGGGAAAATCGAGGGATGTCTAGGGAGCCTAGATGCCTTGCCTGCCGAGCAGAGCTGCCTCCCTGCCCTGGCCTGGATGTGGTCAGCAGACCAGGCTCCTCGGAGTCTCTCCAGCCCTTCTCTGCTGACCCTTGCAGGAATGCTGCCCTTCTGTCCTGTGAGGGGCGGGGGCTGGCCGTGCGCTCCTTCCCCAAACATGGACGCAGCCAGTCTGGGGCAGAAGTGGTGGAGCCACACACAGAAAGAAGCAAGGAGCAGAACCACCTGCTGCCCTCCACGGGCCCCTTCAACCCAGCAGTGCTGCTGCCCGACGCTCCTCAGTTCTGAGAGTGGATGAATCCTCTTCTGCCTAATGTTGTTTCAACTGGGGTTCTGCCACCTAAAAAAGTCTAGACTAATAAAATATCTCACTGAACTAAAACTTGAGTATCTGACAAGTTCCTGGCTTGCCTGGCAGGCAATTTTGTTTCCCAGAAAATAGAGGAAGCAACCAGGGAGATTGCTACTCCGGACCTAATTCTGACCAACATGGACAAATTGGCTGGTGAAATGGATGTGACATGTAACTGGTGAGAAAATGGCACATCATCTTGAATTTGAGGTGGCCTGAGAAGAGGAAGTTGGAAACAGACTTTTAAATACAGACTTCAAGCTACTCTGCTATGATATTCTCTATTGGATTCAAGATGTTTGGTAACCCTAAAAATCTAAAAAAAGAGAAAAATTACAGCTCATCAAAAATTAAAATGTACTCTATTTAAAATGAAATATGCTTAGTAGAATCAGATGTTAGGAAATAACCAGTTTAGTACAGCAACAGGCTATGTTTGAAGAGTCTAAAATTATGTAGCAGGATTGGGAAAACATGAGATCTAAAGTTTTTACGCATTACTCCTACAACCTAAGCTGTCAGTAGGTAGATACAAATTAAAATAACAATGCTAAACTACTAAATTACAGCAGCCAGCATTATGCTAGAGCTTCTTAAAGTGTGGTTTGTTGAGATGCGGAGATCACAAGTAATGGCTGGCATTCCCGGCTCTGTGACCTGGGCTGGTCCCTCTCTAATATCTCAGCTCGGTGCACCTCTTAGAAGGTACTCTTCAGAGGAGATGAAGCTCTAGCTGAATCCCACCAGCATTCCCAGCTGTTTCACAAAGACACACGTCGTCCCAGTAGCAGGACCCAGTATCCTTTGAACTAAAAACACTGTGATTTGAAATAGACTAAATTCTGTAAGAGAAGTGTTTGGTGTAATTATCGAAGCAGGCTTTCAGGGCTCCATTTGGGATTTGCATTAACAGAACGAAGGCTCTTCACTGTATTTAGGGGCACAGATACCTATGAAAATGTGATGGAAGCTGCAGATGCTCTCCTTGGAGAAACACACCTACTTGCACACTTTGGCAAGCGTTTTCTGGGTATTCATTGAATTCAGAAGGACAACGATAAACCACAGAGTAAGAATGCTGAGAATAAATGGAAGAAAACTGCCTTAAACAAAGCCCAGCAAGACAGAGCAGCCAGCACTGGCCCAGGGACATAACCTCTCTAAACCTTCTTGTTCTCTGAAATGGAGATATTAAAGGCTTTTAGCGCACAGGGTTGTTCTGAGGATAAAATGGGATACTGCTTTTAATAGTTTAGTCCAAACCCCCGTCCCCACCGAAAAAATACCCTTAGCACTACTGCTTGACACATACATAGTATGTGCCCAATATTAGCTGATGGCATTGCATTATTATTGCTATTATTACTATTGTTATTGGTAAGTCCTGTAATTTATTAAAATACTTTCCTTAGCAGAGCAAGGTTTGTCCTAGGATTTCATAATTGATTTTCTGTCTGGTGGATTTTAGTTAAATATACAAATGATAGCCGAGATCTCTTAAAAAATGTACAGCTGAATTTCTGGATTTCCAGTGTTATTCTCTGTCTCCGGTTCTTGGAATAGGGAAGTGCTTAGTGTAGACAGAAGGAGAAGAAGAAAAAAGGTATCTTTCCTTTTTCCTGAATATGGGCATATTTAGAGCAAGAGCAAACTCTATCTTATGAACCACATTTTGGGTTTAGAAAAACTCCCACCAATCTAACAACTGTAACCTTTGTAATTTCAGTGTAAGTTTAGCCCCAAACCTGCAGCATTTTGGCTATTATTTTGCTGCATGAAATCAATGACCTGATTTCCCAGTGAAGACCAGATGAAGGGTTTGGACAACAAACAGATTAGAAATCTGGCATCTTTACAAAAACAGTCAACAGACTGACAGAAAACTTGCTCTTGTCCCCAGGAGCCCTAGAAGTTCTCGAGCAGACAGACGTTGGACTTCTCCCAGTTACAGCCCATTGGAAAACCAGCCCATAGTAATTAAAACACAAGCAAACTAACTAAAAGGACTTCCCAAGGCCAGCTCGCAGTCCCTTGCTGTGTCCTGCCATAAGCTGAGTAGGTGGGGTTTGCAGGCTCTCTAACAGTCTCTTTCCTTACGTTGCTTTATGGGGCACTTCACACCTTCACATTCATTCTCTCCTCTAATATTGGGGAGTTCACTTGCTCTCTGTATATATGGCGGCCTGCCTCAGTTTCTCTGCCATGTAATGCCTCCACCCACGGGGGGACTGTGCACCTGCTGTTTTCTCTGTCTCCATACTTGTCTTTCCCCTCTTCACCCCTCACTCCCTACTCACTTTCAAGATCCTGGCTTGACATTTTCCTTCTTCAGCAGAGTCTCCCTGGCCTCCCAGACGAGATCAGGAGCCTTGTAACCCACTCCCGCTGCCCCCAGACTCCCCCGCACGGCACTCGGCACGGCTCGTCGCTGAATGTTTACACGTCTGTTTGATTAAAGTGGGTCTGCCCCTCCTGACAGCAAATTCCACCACAGAGGCAAGCACCCTGGCTGGGTTCCTCTCTGAGTACCTGGCACATCACAGAGAGCATGGCCTCAGTTTGAGTCCATGAGTGAGAGACAGTGTAATTACCCTCCTCTGGCAGGTGGAGGAAGAGACCCAGAGAAGGACACTCACTTCTCAAGGTCGCAGCCCATTAGTGGAAGTTCTGGCACTTGAATCTAGGGGTCCTGGCTCTCAGCCAGTTCTTCCCAGTCCTGTGCATGGGAGGAGAGTTTTCCTACATTTCTGCGGAATGTCACCTCATGTCCTGGTTCCCCTGCCCAGGGAAGGCCATCCCAGGCCCAGCTCTCAGTGGCAGCAGTCCTCTCTGGTGGCTGCCACCCCCAAGTCACCCACACGCCGGGTCAGCACGACTCCAGCATGGGTCCCTTTACTCCAGGATCACTCAGCAGCCTCTGAGGCAGGTCCCCGAAGGCCCTGCAATGACTCCCACTCTCCCAGGAGCCGGGAGAGCAGGGATGCGGATAATTAAGGAGGAGGGTGACAGGCCCTTCTTCATCACCAAAAATATCTCCCACCTCCTGGAGGCATTTCTGCTGTGCATTTCGTTTGATTTTGCACTCTAGCTCATGATCACAAAGCTACTCACTTCACTGCTTAGCTCTCTCAATATTCTGTAAAGTTCTGGTCAAAAGCAGGGCGTGGAAGACACAGGAGAATGCAAGCTCTGCAAGGCCAGGAAACTTGCTGGACCTGCTCACTGCTACACCTCGAGCTGTTAGGACAGCACCAGGCCCACAGGCGGTGCCCGATGGGTACTTGTTCAGTGAATGAACTACAAGCTTCCCAGGAGTTCTGCTGGGGGGCTGAACACTGCCTTGCCCCAAGGCCTGGCCTGCTCTGCCCCTGCCTACCTCCCAGCCTGACCTCTGCACGGGGCCATCCCTGTTCCTCCCTGTCTCCCGCTCTTGCCATTTCTTTGTCCACCTGATCCCAGCAGATTCTGTCCCCTCGGGCTGGTGCACCACAACCGTCCTGTGTTTGCCCAGTTACGCCCACTCACTCCTGGATCTCCACTCCCACCCCTCCTCAGGGAGCCTCCCCTGACACCCCCCCCACCCAGTGTGCTCGCACAGCCCCGTGCCTTCCCAGCGTCAGGCTTATCGCATGACAGTCATTTGTGTCCTTACCGACCATGTCTGCCTCCCACTGGGCTGTGTGGCAGGGCCCAGGCTGTGGCTGGACTCACTGTGGACACCTGGGGAGAGCCTGCACATGGTAGGGGCTCAAGAAATAATTGCTGAATGAATGAAAAGGTGATTGGAGGCTGGCTTTGGCAGCTGAACTGCTGGGTTTGTTCAAGCCTGGAAACACAGGTTGAGCCTTCAGTAAGAAGGTCGTAACTGCTGGGCTGAAGTGCTCCTACTTAAACGGGCGAGCGGGAGGGGGCCCTGAAGACCCCTCAGCAGGGCTCTGCCAAGAACACTGGGATGGCCCAGAGGGCTGCCTGGGCAGAGGACTGGGCACAGCACCGAGACTGGTCAGGACACTGGTGCAAGAATCCTGGGGCCAGAGGGCTGGTCCCCAGGAAGCGGCAGAGGAAAAACAGTGCTGATCTGCTTCTCAGAGACTGTCGGCTCCTTCCTGTCCCTTTCGGTGCGTCCTGGGAGCTGTGAGAGGACCCAGGCAGCAGCCTGGTGTGATGCTCTGAGATGTGGGGGAGGGGTGGGAGAGGGAGGTGGCGCAGAGGCTGCTGGGCTACGGCCCAGGCACCCCTCTGAGGCCCTCTGACCATCTGGTCTCGTTCAGCTCGGCTCCCACCCTCAGGCAGAGCCCGGGGAGTCTTGCCAGAGCACCGCCAGGGAAGCAGGCCAGCCAAGCAGCGGGTGGAGGCGCACAGGGACGGAAGGCACATTACATGTCACTTCATATTAGCTACGCCAGCAACTTTCCCGAACCACCCAGAGAGGGCAAAGTAATTGCAGTGTTGAGGACAAGCCAAAAGCAAAGAAAAGCTGAAGTGGAAGGAGACGGTCTCTCCTTCACAGTCATGACCACACAGGACCGCCTTACAGACGCTCAGACTTGCTGACCTGTGAGGTACATCTCCTCCCCTTCGGTGAACATCTGGTGGCAGCGCACACACCTGGCACAGGTTGGGTGGTAGTGCTTCCCTCCTGCCTATGGAAATAAAAAGAAGATGTGAGAGGTCAGAGACGGGGCTGCTGTCCAGTGGGGGCGGGCTGGGTTTGAACATCTCCTGGGCACAAAGTGCTGCTGGTGTCTTCATGGCCTTTAGGTAGGTTGGGAGTCTACCTGGAGGGGGGAGGCCAGAACTATCTAAAAGTCTGCCCAGGGCACTTGGTGCCTCCACACTGTGGGTCCCTGACGCGAGTTCAGGGCACTTCCTTGGACATCTGCACTTAATTCTGGTGTCAGAAGGGCCTGGAGGCCGCTGGCTCCACTGCATTTCCTGATGAGGAAACAATCCCAGCGTGTTGCCAAGAACGAGGCCCTTTCCACTCGTGGCACATGGGCCTGGGACTTAATAACATTGGATCAATGAAAAAAATGATCTCCTTTCAATCCTCTATCAATTCTTCTGATTTTTTTAAAGGAGAAAGCACCAGATTGATGTCAGTGTGTCTTTAATATCTAAAACTTACTACTCAATCGTTTCAAGAATGAGAACAGGTCTGAGGCATGGAGCCTCCATGAGCAGTGGAACCTAGCTAGAACTGTTCTTATCTTTTGTTCCTGGCAATATGGCAACTGATCTTGGTTTTCCTGTTATGTTATATAAATGTTCTTACATGTGGGAACTTAAAGACAAATTTAAAGTATTAGGTAAGAGTGCTACACAAGGTCACAGACATGACAGAACTTGTGAGAGTGGCACGTGAAGGACACACTTTTAGGGCTCAGTGGACAAGTAATGGGACCCACAAAACCAGGTCCTGAGCCTCTGCTCCACACCAGTGCCAGGACTGCATCACCTGGGCGCCTGCACCCCATCTCCAGCTCACTCCAGTCTGGCTTGGGTGAGCCCCCTTCACTATTCCCATGTTCCTTCCCTACAACTATTTCCAGTAAAAATGGAAATGATTTGCAGCTGCAAGTACTTTTATAGGGGCAGAAACAGCCCCAGTGAAGGTCAGGCCTCACAGTCTCCCGGGAAGCCAGGAGCAGTGCTGGAGCTGGACCCGTGAGGGCTGGTCACCAGCCCAGCACTCACTCCTGTGCCCACAATCCTGGCCCTACAGTCCCAGCCAAGAGGGGCTGGCCCTTCAGTGGTGGTGCCTGAATTTCTATGTGGGAGGAGCTTGGCACAGTCACTGGGCTGGAAGGAAGGGATTATTTTGAAGGTATGTCTATAGGTGATGGCAGGGCTTTTGAGGGGATATGCCTGGAGGGAACTGATGGACACTGGTGACTGTAAAAGGTCCCTTCCCAAACCTTCACTTCCATGCTAATGAGTTCCTTCTAAATAAAAAATTATAACTGCATAATGCTGAAGGTCTATTTCAGAATCTTTTTGGAAGGTGGCAAGAATGGGCTCGCCTATTCTGAGGATAGTTGATAGATTATAAAAACTTAGCAAGAATGTGGAAAGGACAGATTTTTAAAAAAGAAAAAAATTCCAATATCCTTTTTTCTGTCTTGGTTGTGTGGCTCCACCAATGATAAAATGTCCTTATCGTCATCAAAGCAAAACTGTGCAAACTTTGGAAGAAGCCTGCTATTTTCCCAAGCTGAGATAGTGTGGGACTGATTCGCTCATACCCTGAAAGGATAATCGGTTTAATTAGTAGCCTCTTCTTACTTTGTGTCTCTTTATTATTTCAATTATAGACCTGTTTTCCAGAATGGCAATAGCACCCTGGCAAACTGAAGCTTGGTGTCTTCCCCCATGTCCCGCCCTACCGCCCCGCTTCAGCTGAACGAGGCCACGCACCCATCTCAGCAACGACTTGAAAACGACCTGAGGCAGGGAGGCTGCCAGAGCAGCTGGCACCCGCCGGCGGACACTGAGTCAGCAAGGAACGGTGAGACACTCATCTGTTAACAGACCTAACTCAAGAAAGTTGAGAAGAAAAATGGGGCCTTATTGTTGGGGCCTGAGACCACAGTGAGGTTAGGAAAGGTGGCCCTGGGACACAGGGCCTGGGGCTGTCCTCCGTGAGGACACAGACTGAGGAGGAGGGAGGAGGGCCGCTGGCCCTTGGCGTGCTGAGCTTGATCACAGGGAAGGGTGTCCAGGCGGCCTGGGGAGGCAATGAGGAGGGGAAACGGCACTTAATTAAGTGTCAACTCTGCACCAAGAAATGCACTGGGAGCTGTAGTGGGTGACTGTTATTTTGGCCTGGCCAACGTCCTTCCCCCTCCTTCTAGAAACAGCATCTGGCCTCCCCTGGGTGGGCATACATATGCCCCTCATCAGTGCCTGTGGTTACATAGGGCTCACCCCACCAACAAGCCACCCCAGCTCTGTGGTCACGGTTCTTGGTCTGGAGATTATCTGGTGAGAGCCGGTCCCAGGAAGTTCGGTGAGCTAGCAGAGAAGAGAGACTCTTCTTCCATTTGGGATGCTGGCTAATAGGATGTAAGCTAGGGGTGTCCAACTTCCCCTCATGCAGGACAGTCTTCCTGAGAATAATGGCCCACAGAGAAGAAAGTGGAGACGCCCCCAGTGCGTTTGTTTGGGTGCTGGATCCAACGATGCCTGAAGCCAGACCTACTCCTGGGCTTTGTATTATGGGAGCTGATAAATTTCCCTTTTTGTTCAGACCCACTTAAGTATAGTTTCTGCACCAAAAAAGGCCTGAATAACTGCAAAGGAGAACACACTCCTGTGTGTGTCCTCTGCTCCCTCAAACGACTAACACACTCATAGCACTTGTGACACCAGATGTGTGGGGGTCTTCGTCACACCAAGCAGTTCTCTGGGACCACAGCTGGTGTCTTACAATTTAACTCAATTCTGACACTACCTACTTGGAGATAGCACCAGACCCCACAAGTTAAGGGTTCAGTCCCACAAGACTGTCCCCCTTTCCCCTCTTCAGATGTCGATTGTCAGTCCCAGGTTGTCATGTCACCTTACTTGGGATCAACTGGCTATAAATTGGGGTTCCCACAACCCCTGAATTGCGTTCAGTGATTTGGTAGAACGGCTCACAGGACTTGAGGAAACACTTAAATTACCAGTTTATTATAAAAGGATATGATAAAGGGTACAGAATATCCTGTCACCCAGGAAATTCCAAGGGATTTAGGAGCGCTGTGTCAGGAACTGGGGTGAAAGATCAAATAATAGAACAACGCTCCTACCTCTTTTATCACTTAGAAAGTTACCAAGATTTTAGAAGCTCTGTGCCAGGAACTGGGGACAGAGACCAATATATATGTTTTCTATTATTTCACACTAACATATCCATCAAGAGTTAAATAACAGTAGAATTCTCCATTGATAGAGAAAGACACTAAGACTGCAAGAAAGTGACAGGCTTAAGGTTTCACAGACAGAAGCAGTAAAACTGGAATCCAAGTCTGTCCCTGAGTGGCCCCACACTCTAGGCAGCCATGAGGGAATGCAGGAGCCTGGACTCCCAGGCTATGGCTCCGTCCCTACCAGATGCCGCGTGTGACCCTGGAGAAGCAGCACATGCCTTGGGCTCACTTTTCTCATCTGTGAAATGGGGAGGGTCAACCAGCTGACTGCTAAAGGTCTTTTCTGGCTCTAAGAAAAAAAAATCAATACATCCATGATGCTAATGGAGCCTCGTAGAAATGGACTCAATAGAAACCCTCTCCCAACAGCAGCCAGGAGGAAGAGGCACCCACAATGCTGAAGGAAAGTAACATACGAGGAAAAGACATCCACAGGTGACACAATCTCAGAGCAGCTCTAACATGCTGGGCAGCTTCCCGTCTGCAGCTCTGTGTGTGATCCAAGGTTTACCTTCTGGAAAGAAAAGCCTGCTGTGATGACCTCTCATCCTGCTCACCTTTACCCCCACTACAGTGGGGACACCTCTCCCCAACATTCCTGCAAACTCCACAAACTTCTCCTGAAGGTGACCTTCCCACACACCCCACAGCTTTTTCTCAGTCAACACAGTCCCTGACTGCCCTGCAGGACCTCTCCAGCGCTCTGATCTCGCCTCTTCCCTGGAGCTGCCCCTTCCTGCGCCACCCCAGCCCTGGACCCAAGCTCCTCCCTCGACTGGTCTTGCTCTTTGCGGCACCTCCTCAGCCCGCCAGCAGCCCAGGGCCGCCTCCGGCCCGCTTCCTCTCTCTGTCTCTCCCTGAGGTCCTGATGGCCTCCACGGTGCTGGTATTCACATCCTAGCATTTTTTTGAGATTGGTCCCTCCAGGCCGGAGCTCTGTTCCTGAACTCTGTTCTACATTTCAGGCTGCCTTCTTGAGACTTTCCTGGATTTTTTTTCCCCTGGAACTTCAATTCCAACCTGTCCCAAAATGAACTCGCGGAGTTTCTGCCGGGATCACCTTCTTCTCCTGCCCCCTCAGCTCTGCAGATGGCGCCGCCGTCTCCTTCCTCTCACCCAAGCTAGACACTTCGGCACGACTGTCGGCCTCTTCTCCGTCTGTCCTCATGTCCGTAGGTTGTCCCACAGATGCAAGGCATTGGGATCCGACTCCCATGACCTTGGAGATGGGGTGGTTGCCTCCCTACTCAGGCCTCCCAGGGGGATCACGGCCTCCTCACTGGGCTCCTGCTCCCAGTGTCTCCTTCACACTGAGCCTGTGTACATGATGCTATCCCCTCCGAGGTGCAGCGCTAAGCACGCCACGTCCGCTCGGTCTTGCATGGTCCCCTATGGCCCAGTGAATCACACACGTTCAAACTCCTCTCCCTGGTGTCAGGCCCTTGGGAACCTGGGCCCAACATCCTACCTGGGTTCCTGTTTCATTGCTTATCCTCCACACTGCACTCCAACTGCTTCCTGGAAATGCTAAATAGTTTATCAATTCTATGCATTTTTCTTATTCTCTTTGATTTCCTACAATTTTTAAAAACATAACCTTATGTTGCTCCTAGGTTTAAAATCTCCAATGACTTCCCATGGCACTTACTATAAAATCCACAGTCCCAAACAGATCCACAAAGCCCTATATGATATGCCATATGTGATACACTCCATCATCTCCTAGCTCCAAATTATATACTTCAGTTACACTGGCCTTTCCCTCTGTTCTCTGCATGGGTCAAGGTCATTCTTACATTAGCTCTTCACATGACAGCCTCTTTCCCATCCTCAGGGCTCAGCTTCAAAGGACTCCTCAGAAAGTGCTTTCCTGGTTGCTACCCTCTCTCTGCTGAGCCTGGATGCGGCTGTAGAATTCTCAGCAAAGTGCAGACTCCAGGTATATGATCAACTAGCCAGATTTGTCAGAATGATTCTCCTCACAAAAGCTGACCCAGTCTGCTGTACCCCAGTCAGATGGGAAAACAAGCCGAGAGGCGAAGATACTCACCCAGTATCTGAGCATGAGTTAGCAGTTAATATTACAGCCCAGTTGTTCTACTCTTAGGCTATTGTTTTTCCTTTGCACCAAACTCTTTCCTGTTTCTATTTCAACAAGGTGGGTGGTCCCAAAGCCTAGGAAGACAGTTTCCTGGGCCTACAGGGTGTGGGTAGGAAGTCCTGGAAGGCCAACAGATAAGGTCTTAGGCAGGGGCCCAGCCAGGGTGCTGCTGGCTGTCTGTCCCTGGCGGAGTGAGCTGTGAGGGAGGTGGCGAGAGTGTTGCCATGGCGATGGACTAGCCAAAGAAGGGCTCAGGGAGCAAGCTGCTAGACAAGCTCATCCTTAAATCAGCACATTACCAAGTGCTTAAGAAATTAAAAAAAGGTTTCCATCCTCCAGTAGCATTAGGAAGAAAATCATAATTGTCATTCTCCAGTAATCTATCTGGATCTGAATCTGGAGAAGAAACTGATATTCCCAGCACCCAGCACTTCCTGAGCCAGGAATAATTTTGCCCAGCTTCTCACTTTGGGGGTGTCCAGAGAGCCAAGGCTGGAGTCATGCAGCAGGCTGAGCTGGGGCAAAGGGTGCAGGGGAGGTGGTGGCTGCAGAAGAAGGGCTACGGGGTGACTATCTCCTTTCTCAGTGACTTTCTGGGGTCGTAGGCCGTCCTGCTAAAACATCTTCACAGTCACATGAACCCACTCACCTCCAAGACCCTGCCGCTGATGTATCGGTCACAAGTCTCGCATTTAATGCCAAATTGGGAGTGGTAGTCAGCCTCGCAGTATGGAACGCCGTCCCTGCAAGAGGAAATCCACACAGAAGAGGAAGTTGGGGGGAGTCCATGGCGTGTCTCATGGAGGCTCTAGGACCTGCAGCCCGCAGTGGCTGGGCCAAGATGAGAAGACATCAGGGAGCTCATTAACAATGCAAACTCCCAGAGAATCCTTAGATCTAGGGAATCAGAGACTCCCTGGGAGGGGCCCAGGCATCTGCATCTTGACAAACTTCCCAGGTGTCTCTGGGAACCAGTGGTCTGGGCTGCTGGCCGTGGGTGCCCCTTCCCCGCTCTCCTTCTTCCCCCTCCCTACACGTTCTCTAGAGCCACTCTCTTCCCTTTAACCCAAAGGGCTCTTTTAAATCTTTTCTGAAAAGATTGATTAGGTTTTATTTTATTTACAATAGGTAATATTTGCATTTGTTGCATTCGAAGGGCATGGAGAAGCCTCCACCCTCCTTCCAGCCCCAGCTGGTTTCCCTTCTGGGAGGTGATCAATGTAATCAATTTTTGTACATCCTTATGGGCGCCTCTTCTAATAAAACGTTTCACCCGTAGTGAAAGAATCACGAGTGCGCCCCTGAATCAGTAGGTGGCATGACCTACCCTGACCTCCTCCTATGTGCTCAGTTTTGCCTAGTGCTTATCACTTACTGGGCAGCAACAAGATTAGCTGATTATTCTGTCCTCTGCCGCTTACTAACAGCCACTGACATGTGCTGCTTGGTGTGTGCCAGGCCCTCCTGATGGTGTTTTACATAGATTATTTCATTCCGTCTTTATGGCAGCCCTGTGAGGTCAGAAGTACCAGCTTCCCCTTCAAGGAGCAAGCCCACCTCAGAGGACCTAGAGCTGGGTGCAAGCCTGGGAAGTCTGGGTTCTCACACGGGCGGCCCCCAGGGTCAGACGACATGGCGCCAGTGTGTCCCAGGGCTCAGTACTGTGCCTGGCCTGCAGTGGGCACTCGGCAGTGTGGCAGCTGAGCAAATCCCTATGACTGTGGGTCGGGGGAGGCCCTTAAGGAGGAAGCCCTGGGGCTCAGCTCTCAAGGGTCAGCGTGGAGACAGCTGGGGGTGTCAGAGAGCTCAGCCCAGCTCTGGGCCCTGCACAGCTCCAAGGGCGAGATCTGATGATGTTTCTGTGAAGCACTGATGACACCCTTGAGGAGAGGAGGACATTTCCCCACTTTTGAGTGTAATGGGACTCACACACAGGGAGGCCTAAAGGACAGGCACGTCACTGTTCCCTCGCCCAGTTGCTGCCATGTTGGGATTGCTTGGCGTCCACCCCAGCAGCAGGGCAGTCAGTGTTTCTCTGAAGGAGACGCAGCAGCGGGACCAATGCCCAGCAAAATCTGGGGTGAGACTGTTGTCTGAAGGCCCATGAGACAGGCCTCCCCCAGCCCTCCTGCACTCCGTAGGTGTGGGAGGGTGACTCTGCAGGGGGTAAGTCATTTGTCAGGAGGAGGGTACAATGAGCCACAGACTTGGGGCATATAAGCCAATATCACCTCATTTGGACCCCTGGGTTGGTGAGGCTGAGAGAACTGAAATATACATGATTCTAAAAAGAGGCAGATGGTGAAATAAATATTCCTAGGCACTTATTTTGTTTAAAGAATGGATCTCTGAGCTTTTACACAACCCAATGAGGTAGGTTTTCTCCATTTTTAGAAATGAGGAAACTGAGACTCAGAGAAGTCCCTTGCCAAGGTCATGCAGGCTGGGCGTCCAACCCGGGCATCGATGCCAGAGCCAGTGCCTCTATGCTCCTGCCACCCTGCCAGCAGGCAGAGGAAGAGCCCGGAGCCAGGCTGCAGAGGCCAAAGGTGTGGTGGGCAGTCTGGGCTGGGCCTCCTTGCGAGGCACTCCGAGCAAATCTAACTCCCCCAGAGAATTCTGAGTTAGGCTTACAGACTCAAGGAGTCCTGGCTGGCGACTCCCTCGGGCACTCCTTACTTGGCAGGCACAGAGAGGAATACCCAACTCCTACTAACATGGCACTCAAATCTGTCAGTGATGTGACCGCGGCTCACCTCTGCACATGAGCCTCGGACCCTCTTCAGCTGCGCCCATGCCTGCTCTCCAGTAAGCAGGATGGATGTGCCGGCGCCTCTCTGCCCTGTCCTAGCCTGGGCATTCTGCCTAGAAGCTTCCTTCCTTTGCATTTTCAAATCTTACCCCCCCTTTGCCTGGTCCAGCTCAAATACCACCATCTTCCAATGAAGCGCCCAGATTCCAGATCTACTTCCTGCTGGTTAGAAGTGACCCTTCCTTTCTCTGACTATCCACAGCCCTCCACTTGACCTCCGACAGACAGCACTGGCTGGCGAGCACCTACCTCCTCTTCTGCTGGTAGCAGTAGCTCGCCCGGGTTTTCTGTTGGGAGCCCCCCCTTCCCACTGTAGTTACTGTGGGTCACACAGGGCTGCCCTCTGGCTCTAGGGTTCACATCCTCCCGGATAGGAGCTAGTCCAGAATGAGTGTGTGACCCAAGGGTGGACAAACGAGAGGAAGCTGTGGGACTTTGGCTGGAGTTCTTGGGAAAGAAGCTTCTCTCTCTGCCAGGCTTGCTAGGCTGATAGAATGACAGCCTGGAGTTGCTTGTGATCATCTTTGAGGAGGGCCTACTTGAGAATGATTCTAACACAGAGGAAAGTAGAGCTGAGAGAGAGGCATTCTGAGATGCTGCTGACATCTTCAAGACCCTGAATTCAGCTACGCTGGAAGCCAGTATGCTTCTGGCTTTCCCATTTCTATGAATCAATAAATTTCCATTTTTGCTTTTCAGTGTGTCTGAGCTAGTTTTTTTGTCACTTATTATTGAAAAGGTCTTACAGAATGAAACTTTTTTTGGGGTGATAAAGTGTCAAAGCTGTGAGGGTCTGTGGTGACGATTTCTTTTAGGTACTTGTGTGTAAATGTGGACTAGGGCCTGCAGCAAGCAGGCCTGTTAGTGCCATGCTGAGCAGGTCATCCACTCTCTCCTGAAAACGGTATGTGTCCGTCATCCCTCATCTTAGTTAAACTCTTTCAGCAACTATAGTAACTATGGGTCGGGCACCATGCTAAAGGCAGTAGTGAATAAAACCGAGTCCCCACCCTGGTGAGGACGCACGTTAAATGTAGTCACTGGAGCAGTTACTTTCTCCCCCAAACCTCAGTTTCCACAGCTCTTAAAGTGGGGATAAATTGCCTCATGGGTGTTGTTAGGGGGGTTAATGTAATGATCCATACAAGGCAGTTAGAGCGTTCCATATATGTGATAAAAACTCAATCAATGGTAGCTGTATTATCATTATTATAAAGTCATCATGGACAAATATGTAAATGCAAGTGGTATTAGTTGGTATGAAGGAAACAAATGCACTGTGAGGGCCAGTGCTGGGGGACCAGAGGCAGTAAGAGGTGGTATGAGGCTGCCTCTGGGGGGGTATGTGGGACCCAGGACCAGAGGGGAGGGAGGGGACAAGCACACGCAGAAGGGAGAAAAAAGTTCAGGCCCAGGTAACCCCAAGGGGGTCCTGAGGCTGTCTGTGGCCGAACTAGAGTAGCCAGTAGCTGGTAGCCAGTAGAAATTATAGAAGTAAGGGTGGTGCTACTGGAGATTGAGGTGAGGGCTGGAGAGGGCAGGCCTGGTAGAATGCAGTGGCCGGGAGGCTGGGGCGAGGACAGGGAGAGACCCACTTGCTGATGTACTCCCCGGTCAGGACGACACTGCAGGTCTGGCATTTGAAGCAGCTGACGTGCCACTGCTTGTCCAGCGCCAGGAGTGACTGACCATGCTTGATCTCCTCCTTGCACCCAGCGCAGTCTGCAAAGACAGGGGGACGCTGCTGAGCACAACACCAGGGCCCCGACTGCCACCAGCATGTGCCCAAGCGAAGGAAACTGCACCCTGAGCACCAGTTTCTCCACAGCTGCTCCCACTCTGGCCCTGGCACCTGATCAGAGTTCTACCAGTGATAGAAAAGGGCACCAGAGTCCGGTCCTTTTGACAAGGGGTCTTGGTGAGAGGGAGAAAGACAGACTCCCAGGATTCCTCCAGAAAGTTCCCTGCTTGTCCTCCTGAGCACTGTTCATCCAAAGCAGACCTCACACTGTTCCTGGCCAGCCCCCAAGCAGCTCAGCTGCACTCCTCTCCATGGCCAAGGGGTCCCACAGCATCAGTGTCACCTGGCAGCTGGCAGACATAGGTGTCACGAGGCTCCCAACCTACCGAATTTTATCAAGGTCTCTAGCTCAGCCAAGTCTGAGACGCTGCTCCAGCAGATATGTTTAGTGTCTAGTTTTTCCCACCCTTGGGCTGTATGCTCAATAGCAAAGGCTGTGACTGTATTTCATTGTTAAATCTGCTTTCGTGCCTACTCTGTGCTCATATTAGGAATGCAGGCAGCACAGAGAAGGAACTCCAAGCATATTTGCTGACTGAGCATGAGCAGACCTTAGAATTTACACCGGTATGCTTATGCACTAAACATTTGCCTCCCCGGGGAGCAAGGATTAATGAGTCTGCTGAGACTGTCCCAAACCAGAAAGGTGCTCTCGCTCTCCATTCCTGTCACCCTGGAATGTGCACCAGGGCCACAGGAGGTGGAGGGCCGGCGTCTGCCTGTTGCTCAATCAGTGTCTGGGAAGCGGCAGGAAATGGAGCCAGCATCCAAGGTACTTGGGAGATGCTGGGAATTCAGGCCTAGCCAACCGGATGGCTCACTCTGGAGGAGGAAAGGGTCATGGGGCAAAGTTTACCAGAGGACAAGCCTCCTTCTTGGCACTGCAATACAGATGCACGCTTTGGGGCAGTTGGGAGAAGCTGGCTGGATGCCCTCACATCCAGCTGGGAGCTAGTCCTCAGGGAGAAGATGATGTGTCTGTGTGTTTAGGAAAGGGGGTGTGCCCTGCAGGCTGTGGGGAGGGTCTGCGCCTGCTGAAGTGCTTGGATGAAGCAGCTCCATGGTAGCCTCCTCCTGCTGGCTTGGTGCCTTTCTGACATTGGGAAGCAAGGCTGGGGACAGATCTCCAATTGCAAAATGCGTCAAGCCCCAGGCCGTCAGATGCGGCTGGGTGAATTATTTGGGATTTTTTTCTTTTTCTTCCTTTTCTCCTGGAATAAATCTACTGGCCTACCCCCAAGCCCCCATCTCACACCCACCCCAATACTAACAGGCTTCAGAATATAATAGTTTAGAAAGGCTAGGTAGTCCCTCCCCTTTTATAGGCAGGTGTCTAAAGTAACTTCCCCATTCTCAGCATAGGAAAACCTGAGGTGTCGGGGGTCTTGTCTACTTTCTATGCCACAAATACTGAATTCGGGACTTTGTGGGCCTCCCTGATAGGCTTAAATGATTCCACAGGGGTTCAGGGTTCACAAAGCATTTGGTCACAGTCCCACCCAATGTAGGAATCCATAGCATTCTTGACACTTGGGCACCATCCTCTGCTTAACTGCCTCCAGGGGTGGGCAGCTTACCCCCTTTTGAGGAAGTCTTCTTTGCCTTTGGACAGACAAGACTATCATGACTGCCTTCTTTATGTGGAGCTAAGACTTGAGTCCTTGTGATGCCCCCTATTTTATGCAACCAGGTAGCATAAAATCTACCTCTTCTCACATGACATTTCCTTCAGATATTTAAAGACAACTACAGCTTCTCTCTTTTCCTTCACTCCCTACACTGCCATTTTCCTTGCTTGATACGGCCTTCCCCTGCTCAGTTTCACTTGTGGATTCCATGGGGTAGATAAGTCATAGGCCAAAAACACAATTCTCTACCTTTGCAATAAAACTGATTTGAAGAGCTGGACACATTCTAGTATTGAATCCCATCTCTTTGAGTTACAGTGATGTATCTGAGAAGAAACGACCACCTCAAGTTAAAATGGAGGAAAAGGTGCGGCTGCAGCGTAGAGACTGGACTGACAGGTCGGGGTGGGTGGTGAGAGAGGCTAGCTGAGGGGAGAACCCCAGCTAAGCCCCCGCTTCCCTATCTGAGTATCTTCCTGGGGTGAAGACAAACTGAAATCAGGCCTGTAAGGACATAGCATAGTGCTTGGCACATATGTGCCCAATAGGTGGTTGCTGTCATTACTGTTTCATGTTCTTGTGTTTTTAACCCGTACTCCGTACATTATCTGATCTCTGATCTGAGGCCAGAAGCAATATTCCTGATGTAGGGAAGGCCTGCTGATTTCTCCCGAGGATTCTGAGACTCCTTCTCCATGTGGTTTTCTCTTCATGTGTTACTGTTAGTTTTCCATCACACTGCTTTATGTTTATTTGGAGCTTTTTCCCCCACTCTTCCTCCTCCCAGTCTTGACCACCAGTGGAGCCTCAGGCACCCCAACCAGGAGCCATGAGTCGGATGTAATAAGCAGGGTCAGGAGAACTACACCCTGTCTCAGATTTCAGCAGAGCCAGCTGCCCACCCCTCATATGTTCCTGCCTATTCCAAAATCACACCCTTCAGCTGGCAGAAAGCACGACGCCACCACCTGTTCCTCCCAAATCCTGCAGTCTACTGATGTCTCCAACGACCCCAGACAACCATTTTTAGTTTTCTTGACTATGTTATATGTTCCACTTAGATCAGCAAAAATGAATGTCTTTTGTGAGTCAGAGCAAGCTCCCCACCTTGTTTTAGGCAATTAACTCAGGAAGACAAGACCATCCCCAATCAGCAAGTCATGTCTCTGGTATTCCCAGGATTCCTCCAGAAAGTTCCCTGCTTGTCCTCCTGAGCACTGTTCATCCAAAGCAGACCTCACACTGTTCCTGGCCAGCCCCCAAGCAGCTCAGCTGCACTCCTCTCCATGGCCAAGGGGTCCCACAGCATCAGTGTCACCTGGCAGCTGGCAGACGTAGGTGTCACGAGGCTCCCAACCTACCGAATTTTATCAAGGTCTCTAGCTCAGCCAAGTCTGAGACGCTGCTCCAGCAGATATGTTTAGTGTCTAGTTTTTCCCACCCTTGGGCTGTATGCTCAATAGCAAAGGCTGTGACTGTATTTCATTGTTAAATCTGCTTTCGTGCCTACTCTGTGCTCATATTAGGAATGCAGGCAGCACAGAGAAGGAACTCCAAGCATATTTGCTGACTGAGCATGAGCAGACCTTAGAATTTACACCGGTATGCTTATGCACTAAACATTTGCCTCCCCGGGGAGCAAGGATTAATGAGTCTGCTGAGACTGTCCCAAACCAGAAAGGTGCTCTCGCTCTCCATTCCTGTCACCCTGGAATGTGCACCAGGGCCACAGGAGGTGGAGGGCCGGCGTCTGCCTGTTGCTCAATCAGTGTCTGGGAAGCGGCAGGAAATGGAGCCAGCATCCAAGGTACTTGGGAGATGCTGGGAATTCAGGCCTAGCCAACCGGATGGCTCACTCTGGAGGAGGAAAGGGTCATGGGGCAAAGTTTACCAGAGGACAAGCCTCCTTCTTGGCACTGCAATACAGATGCACGCTTTGGGGCAGTTGGGAGAAGCTGGCTGGATGCCCTCACATCCAGCTGGGAGCTAGTCCTCAGGGAGAAGATGATGTGTCTGTGTGTTTAGGAAAGGGGGTGTGCCCTGCAGGCTGTGGGGAGGGTCTGCGCCTGCTGAAGTGCTTGGATGAAGCAGCTCCATGGTAGCCTCCTCCTGCTGGCTTGGTGCCTTTCTGACATTGGGAAGCAAGGCTGGGGACAGATCTCCAATTGCAAAATGCGTCAAGCCCCAGGCCGTCAGATGGGGCTGGGTGAATTATTTGGGATTTTTTTCTTTTTCTTCCTTTTCTCCTGGAATAAATCTACTGGCCTACCCCCAAGCCCCCATCTCACACCCACCCCAATACTAACAGGCTTCAGAATATAATAGTTTAGAAAGGCTAGGTAGTCCCTCCCCTTTTATAGGCAGGTGTCTAAAGTAACTTCCCCATTCTCAGCATAGGAAAACCTGAGGTGTCGGGGGTCTTGTCTACTTTCTATGCCACAAATACTGAATTCGGGACTTTGTGGGCCTCCCTGATAGGCTTAAATGATTCCACAGGGGTTCAGGGTTCACAAAGCATTTGGTCACAGTCCCAACCAATGTAGGAATCCATAGCATTCTTGACACTTGGGCACCATCCTCTGCTTAACTGCCTCCAGGGGTGGGCAGCTTACCCCCTTTTGAGGAAGTCTTCTTTGCCTTTGGACAGACAAGACTATCATGACTGCCTTCTTTATGTGGAGCTAAGACTTGAGTCCTTGTGATGCCCCCTATTTTATGCAACCAGGTAGCATAAAATCTACCTCTTCTCACATGACATTTCCTTCAGATATTTAAAGACAACTACAGCTTCTCTCTTTTCCTTCACTCCCTACACTGCCATTTTCCTTGCTTGATACGGCCTTCCCCTGCTCAGTTTCACTTGTGGATTCCATGGGGTAGATAAGTCATAGGCCAAAAACACAATTCTCTACCTTTCCAATAAAACTGATTTGAAGAGCTGGACACATTCTAGTATTGAATCCCATCTCTTTGAGTTACAGTGATGTATCTGAGAAGAAACGACCACCTCAAGTTAAAATGGAGGAAAAGGTGCGGCTGCAGCGTAGAGACTGGACTGACAGGTCGGGGTGGGTGGTGAGAGAGGCTAGCTGAGGGGAGAACCCCAGCTAAGCCCCCGCTTCCCTATCTGAGTATCTTCCTGGGGTGAAGACAAACTGAAATCAGGCCTGTAAGGACATAGCATAGTGCTTGGCACATATGTGCCCAATAGGTGGTTGCTGTCATTACTGTTTCATGTTCTTGTGTTTTTAACCCGTACTCTGTACATTATCTGATCTCTGATCTGAGGCCAGAGGCAATATTCCTGATGTAGGGAAGGCCTGCTGATTTCTCCCGAGGATTCTGAGACTCCTTCTCCATGTGGTTTTCTCTTCATGTGTTACTGTTAGTTTTCCATCACACTGCTTTATGTTTATTTGGACCTTTTTCCCCCACTCTTCCTCCTCCCAGTCTTGACCACCAGTGGAGCCTCAGGCACCCCAACCAGGAGCCATGAGTCGGATGTAATAAGCAGGGTCAGGAGAACTACACCCTGTCTCAGATTTCAGCAGAGCCAGCTGCCCACCCCTCATATGTTCCTGCCTATTCCAAAATCACACCCTTCAGCTGGCAGAAAGCACGACGCCACCACCTGTTCCTCCCAAATCCTGCAGTCTACTGATGTCTCCAACGACCCCAGACAACCATTTTTAGTTTTCTTGACTATGTTATATGTTCCACTTAGATCAGCAAAAATGAATGTCTTTTGTGAGTCAGAGCAAGCTCCCCACCTTGTTTTAGGCAATTAACTCAGGAAGACAAGACCATCCCCAATCAGCAAGTCATGTCTCTGGTACGGGTGTTAGGGGAATAGGCTCCAGGGTCAGACCACCTGAGCCCATTTCCCAGTCCCATTACTCACATTTATGTGACTTTGGGCAAGTCGTTTATGCTCTTTGAGTTTCAGTTTTCTCATCTATAAAGCAATTATTTTATCTCCTTCACAGAGATGTGATGATTAAATGATATATTATATACAGAAAACTTAGCGCCTTGTCTGGCAGTAGTACCAGTCAATCAGCGTTAGCAGTAGTGACGCTGGTATTGACGGCGGTGGTGCTGGTAGTTTGGTTTGTTAGTAGTTGCTTTCCTTTGTATAATGGTGGTGATGATGGTGGTGCTGGCAGTGATGCTGATGGCAGCGGTGGTGGCACTGATGGTGGCGACTGTGGTAGTGACAGTGATGGTGCTGGGGCTGGCGGTGACTGCAGTTTGTTTTGCTGGCACTTGGCTTCCTTTAGGTGATGATGGTGGCGGTGGTGGTTGTGCTGATGGTGATGCTGTGACTACTGCTGACACTTCTCAGTGAGGTCTGTGAGGAAACATTTCTCCTTCCTGTGGAAAGGAACATGATTCTTTTCTCCTGATAGTTCCTGAGTATTCTTCTTGATCTCTCTTGAGTAGATCAGCTCTTGCTTTTCCGAATGCCCTTTTTTAGCCCCCAGGGAGGAACATCACACTCCTCTGAATCACAATCCACCCCCTGCCCCTCCTCTCCCTTTCTGTGATGTGTTCTTCATCTTAGCCCTCTCTTGAGTCTGGGTCTGGTTTCCTCTATCATTTAGGAACTCGGCAGACTTTGCAATATCCCCTCTAGTCATTTGCTTCAAGAACTGGGACCACCTCCAGGGGGAAAACCTTTCTACGGAACATGTGCCTTGTAGATGCACAAATTGATGCCTTTACCTCATGCATAACAAGAGAGCCATAGCCCTGAATACTGTCCCTGGAGACTCGCATGTGCTCACTCACTTCTCATTCACTCTTCTTCACTTTCCTCTACCTTCGGGTTTGCACAGCTGGCAGAGAGAGTAGCCTCTCTTTGAGGACATGCTCATGTGCTGAGGAAATCTCCCACCGGTCTGAGATCTCTGATGCACAGAGTAACACGCAACACAAGCTGAGAAGTAAAATGTTCTCAGGAATCTTACTCTCTGTCCTCCCTTGATGGGCTTTCTAGATTAAAGCTCCAAGTCGTCAACATCCCTCACTTTATATTTAGACAGCATTTTACACACTGTGATATATGTCATTCTGATTCCAGGATACTAACACATGTGCTTCCCGCAAAGCTGGCTAAGCTGAGCCTCAGGGAGGCCACGTAACTGCTTTGCACCATACAGAACGCTGGCAGCTCCTGCTCCCAGCTTGCCTCTCTCTACTGCCTCACGCGTGATCCTGCTGGTCTCTGGGCACCTCAGCAGCAGCAGCTGCAGGGCCATGGCCCTGCAGTCCAGCATCCCACGTTGCTGGCATTCCGCATGGTGCTTTCAAGGAGTCATGAAGGATAACGGTGCTTGCACCCAGACACCTCGGGATGAAAACCTGCTCAGGGCGCAAACTGTTCCTGAGCATCCCCAGGGACCCTGGAGGACGTGCTCTGTACATGCCTCCAGCAGACCCGGCCTGGCTGGATGGAGAGAAGGTGAGGGGGGGCCCCACTGTCTTTCTCCCCAGCTCAGTGTGCCGGGCAGACTTTACTGCGGCCCCTGGTTGCTGAGCCCTGCTGACTCGGGGCTCCATGCTCACGCCCCTTGGGCAGATGCGGCCTCAGCGTGCTGACTCTGCTGGTGGCCTACAGCCCGTGCAGTGAGGCAGGACTGGAGGCTGATGGGTTTTCATGGGTTCTGCTGACAAGGCACTGAGAGTGTCGTGTAACAGGGAAGAACACTAGAGCCTAGCGTGGTTCACTGAGGCCCGGGGGCCGGGGCTCTGCGTGCAGGCATGTACAGTCAGCAGCCTGACAAGGGTATCTGGGAACGGTGACTCGGACATCTTACCAGGGCACAGGCTTGAGTGGAATGGACATTCCATGGATTAAAATAACTATCCCAAGGTACATTCTTGATCTGTAGTTTTCCACAAATCTATGATTTGGTGATAAAATAATACATATACTATGGTGTGGCAGGTGTTTCCCACATTTCTGGATGGTGGTTCTCAATACTAGGACCAGCAAACGAATCAGCCAGGAAGCTTATTAAGAACGTAGATTTCTAGGTTCCATTCCTAGAAGTCCAAAGTGGGCCTAGAAATCTGCATATTTACCAGTTCTGCGGTTGCCCACGGAAAACAGTCTCGCAGACACCGGCACAGCCCTGTGGTTTGCTCCTGTACCTCTCCTTTTGTAAGACATGACTGTGCATTCTATTTTCATGGAGTTTGTAAAAACTGCAAACCACTCGTGGCAAAACTCTCACTCTGCTGTTGTGGTGCCCTTAGGAGCATGGATCCAGAGGGATGAAGACAAGATCAGGAGCTCAGCTCAGCCCAGAAGAGCCGCACCCGAGTGGCTGGTGCATGGCACAGGCCGTCACTGTCTACAGTCAGGCAGCCTGTCTTCCCTGCATTTGTGCTTAGGGAAGCTTGTGAGTCTGGGCCATCTGCCAAGTGGGTCATACGTCAGAAGTCCTCCAGGGTGGGAACCTCCCCCTCTTCCCTCCAGGCTAGTAGGAGCAGTTAACAGAGCTGGGACAGGATCTCTGGAAGGCAATGCCCAGTGGGGGGGACTCACGGCTTGGTCCACGGATCTTGATGGGTTTACTGCTGGTCATGGACTGGGAGCACGTCTGACACACGCATTCCTTCCCACTGAAGGTCACCTTGTCTCCAATGGGGAAAGGCTTCCTGTAAGGGGGGTAAGGGAGAAATTCAACACTCCTTTCCTGAGGTATTCTGTGTCTATTGGTGGCCTGATAACAGGTGCTCAACACTCTTTGGTAACACACACAGCTCGCCTTCCAGAGCAGCAGGCAAATTCAAGCGCTGTTCACAGGGCCAGGCTAACTAACCCACTCAGTGAGGGCCAGGACTGGACCAGGGGGCCCACTTGACCATTTAAGTGGTTTTAACACTGGGCAAATCATGACACTTGGTTGAGCTTACATTTCTCATCTGTAGAATGAAGTAGAACAAAGAGGTTAATAAGTCCTCCTGAACTTGTTCCTTCTTCCTAGGACTGTTTCCATTCCAACTCGATCTCTTCCCTGTATGTCAAGAAGAACTCATGCAACTCCCAAAATTACCAAAATGTCTTCCTTTCACTATCCAGGAAGTTCGGAAGTCCACCAGTACCCTCTCCTCATCTGCATTTGCCTGGTTGGAGTCCCACAGCTCAGAGGTCTCAAGCTCATGCAGGTCCTGTCTCCCTAACTAAATATAAACCGTATACAGAATCCTGGCACTGTTGATCCCATTGTTCATCTGCTTTTGTGTACACAGTTTGAGACACATGCTAAACAGACTCTGAGCATGACCCCCGACACAGGCTTCTGGTGCCCCTCCTGCCTCGTGCATCGGCAATGTGGGACATGCACAGAGTGCTAGGAAGAGTCAGGGGTCCTCCCGGGTGGGAACCTCATCACGGCTCAGCACTGAGTCGTGATGAAGCACATGGTGTGACCTCGGATAGGCACCTCATCTCTGTGGGGCATGACAAAGACCTCACTTTATATCTTTCACTACATGTGGACCCTCCTGTGCTAAGCTGCAATGGGTGTTGGATTCCAGAATCCAGAGCCCAGGTTTTAAGATATAGACGAATGAATGAATTCCACTGGGTGGTTATATTTTTTTACATTATGCATTGTTATGAGTCTCAATCAGAAACTAATTGGTTAGTTGCTCTAACTGGTAACTAACAGGTGGTTATTTTATGGGGAAAATAATTAATCTATAAGTTCCTAATTTTAAAAATGCATATATATGTCAATCATGCTTTATTTATGACTTAGAGCAGCCGATTAAATTTTAACATATTTGTGGGCAGGGTTGAGGTTTTCTTTATTTTTTCATCTCTTTAATAGGGTGCTTGGCAGACAGCAGACCCTTAATGTACATTTGCTAAGTTAACAAGGGATTGGGATGCTGGGGCTCGGCAGGAGGGAAGGGGTGAGACTTCTGTCACATATCATTCATTTGTCCTGAGAGGCCGGATGATTATCACTATGCTAATGAAAAGAATAATAAAAGCAGACACAGTTGTGCTCTAGCCCCTGAGCTAAGGTCTTTGCATTTATCATCTCATTTATCTTCCTGAAAACCCAATCAGGTCAGAATGGCCTCAGTGCTCGTTTGACTAATGAAGAAGCTGAGGCTTACAGAAGTGGGGTCCCTTGCCAGGATCACGGGGGGGACGTTCTGTCCAGACCACTGTACCATGTGAGGCTGAGGGTGTGGGAGCCTGGGCCAGATCTGGGGTTTTCAAACTGAGTGGAGAGACCAGGGTACTCGGTGGTTCCTCTGGGGACTTTTGATGGGAAATGGGAGGCTGACTATGAGGGTTCAGATCCCTTTTCTGTGTTCATAGCAAGGAAAAGTAGTGTTTTTCCATTAGATCACATTTGACAATGTGGATTCAGCTGCTAAAGGCTTGAAACCCACGGGCTCGTCAGGTTCTTTCACTGCGGAGATTCTAGAGATCCACGTGTCCAGCATAAAGCCCTGTGAGCCCCAGAACTGCCCGGGAAAGGCCATTCCCTCCCTTGCCCGGCAGCTCGGGCAGAGGGTCCTGGCCTCTGCTGGCTCCTCCTCACCTGCACAGGCTGCACACGAAGCACTTAGGGTGGTAGGTGCGGCCCAGGGCCGAGATGACCTCGCCTGTGATGAAGTCCCGGCAGCTGTCGCAGCGGGTGCCATAGAGCTGCTGGTAGTCCTGGGTGCAGATGTACTCCTGGTTTTTGAAGAAGAAGCCCGACTGGGCCAGGCCACAGCCACACACTTGGGAAAACAAGGAGGGAAACAAGGGCAGGTTGAGTCCAGGGAGCACCTGCAAGCACGAGGTTTTTGTTGGGGATAACGCTGGTGTCTGACTTGGTCATGAGTGGCCAGAGAATGGAGGCACATCAGGCCTCGTGTGCCTTTGGGGCCAGGGTTCCTTCAAGTATGGCCGGAGGGCCGCTTGCACCGGAATCATCTGGCAGCCTTCTCAACAAGCAGAGGGGCTGGGGCTAGGGCTGAACCAGATACCCTGGAACTGGGGCCAAGGCATCTGCATTTTAATACCCTCCCAGCTGACTCTGATTCACACCTGAGACTGCTGATAGTGTACAATCCTCTCAATACCTGGATGAAAAGTCTAAGGCCGCATAGCTCACACGATGCTGCACTGATGGTACCATACATTTGATCAAAGAATCACTCAGTTAAAAGTTTCCTGCACTTTCCATATGCTCGGCTGAGCTAGATGAAGACAACTGAGGATGGCAATGGAAAGGATGATCTGAAGACTATAACCTGTCCTGGCTGTGGCCATAAAGAGTGGGTCTGCTTCTGGGCAAGAATGACAGAGCAAATCCCCGAACCCTCAAGAGCTAACAATGTAAGCAGAAAGAAGACCGTATAGAATGTACATCACTGGTGACAGGCCATGGGCTGAGGTGGGCAGCAAGTGCTGCTGGGAGTGCAGAGGAAAAGGGAGCACTGCTCAGGGCGGGGAGGATCAGGGGAGGCTTCTTGGAGGAGGCAGCACTTGAGCTGAGCTTTGAAGGGACATAATGAGGTAAAGCACAGAGACAAGAAGTTTCGGAATTGTGGAGGGGGGCCTGAGGTTGAGGTGGTGTGTTTAGGGAGTGGAGGAAAGTAATACAGGAAAATATTGACAGGGCAGTTGGGGCAGGGCCCACGTCCAGTTTAAGAAGTTTAGGTTTTGTGGAATACTGAGAAGCCAAGGATGACTTTCCCCATAGTTTTCAAACACTTTCATGAAATTATTTGGAGAGTCTCAGACATATACAGAAGTAGAAAAATTATGACTCCCCATTGCCCAGCTGCAAAAAAGATCAATTGCATCAATAGCTTTTTAGAGAGGCACCATGACTTTCTAAGGTTTTTCATAAGGTCTTTTGAGATATCCTTGTGGGCAATGTGAAGATATATAGGACAGATAATAGAAGAGCAGGTGAATATAATTATAGGTGTCTGGACAACTGAAGCATGTGGGACCCCTCTTTCCCAAAGGACACAGAAATGTGGGAATGAGATTTCCTCCGGGAGCTACGTTACGAAATCCACGCACAACGGGCAGAGCAGAAAGTGGCCTAGTTTCTTCCGAGAGATGGAGTGGCTTTGAGCTGCTGAGTGTGTTGATCCAGCTAAAGCAAGGCTGGGCCAGCCACGAAGGAGCTGGTCATCAATCAAAGGGAGGCCACTGGGGAGTCCACTAAGGCCCTATGACAAGCTTCCCTGGCTCTGCGTCCACACCGACACACTGGGGGACAGCTAGCCTTCTGCAGAGACTGCCTGGGGGCAGGAGGCCACTGGTTAGGGCACTGTGAGCAAATGCAGTGGAGAGTTACAGCTCTTGTTTGTATTAATAAGCAAGCACTCCAATTTTATATGCTGGTTTCCCAAGGACTTGCTTAGCATGAGTCAACTTCCTTAAGCTCTCGCTGGTGGGGACACCAATGAGATAGAGTTTCCAGACCTGTCAGTGTGAAGACCTGGCCTGACCAGGTGATATCACCCCAGGTAAATATTACCCCATCTGTAACAGGGAAGGTTGTTTCCCAAAAGCAGCCAGGTTAAAAAATAAGAGGGACTTCCAGGTGAATGCCAGACATTTTTCGCATGTTTGTTTACCTTCCAGGCCAAAGGCAGGCTTAAAGGGCCAGCATGAGTGAGGCAGAGGGCAGCCCCAGACCTCCCAGCCTGAGTGGGAACATGCAGCACAGCAGAAGGCATAGTGGTCTGGTAGTCAGACCTCCTGGGCTCTGGTCTCATCACTGCCACTAACTCTATGGGTGACAATGAACTTGGCCTTCTGTTGTCTGGGGTCTCTGTTCACTTACATGGTAAATGAAGAAGCTGGACAAGAAATGACCCAAGCTTTTCTTCTGACACTGACATCCTATGAGTCTAGGAAAGGGAAAGCTTCGTTCAGGGCTTACCATGTGCCTAAACATTTTAGACTCAGGGTGAGGTAGAGCTGGGGGCCCCTGCGGATCACCCACAGTGAGGCAGGGCCTAAGAGAGGAGGTCGGGGTGGTAGCAGTTGATGGGGAAGGGTTCATTGTCCATTAGGCTTCATCAGAATCCATCATATCAAACAATGCTGCGTCTGGAGAGCAGGCGAGGCCAGAGTACAGGCTGTGCTGGGCTGTACACGCGGCAGATCGACTGGCTTCCTGACTGTGGAATTAGTTAGGTCACGGCCTACGACCTCACTGGAAACAGCTCCTGTTTTTTCCCTTCTTCTCTCCCTTTTGTTTCCCCTACCAGCTCCACCCCCAGAGCCGCCTCTCCCAGTGGAGAAAACCAAGAGGCCCGAAGAGAGCTGGAACAATCAGTTCCTCCATATCCTCCAAGGAGCTGAAGGAGGAAGCTTTTGGTAGAAAGGATGTAAAGGCTGATAAGAATCTCAGGGGTTCCTGGAATACAGTGGGGAATACAGGGATAGAAGGCAGGCTGGACCAGCAGGACAGACATATTTGAGGCTGAACAGAGCCCAACATTCAAATAACAGGAAAGGCCATGGAGAGGGTTTGCAGTATGGAATGGATGGAAATAATACACATGGGGCAGTCATTATTCTGTGAATCAAAAAGATAAAGTCTGTTAATTTTTTAAAAGCATATTATAGGGTTTGATGAAGGGACAGAATATTGTTAGAACTGCTTTGAGAAAATCTGAATGAATGCTCACTGTAAATATGAAGCCTACAAGGAGGCCTTGAACATAGCTGCAGTATATTTCAGTGGAAAATGTGCTATTTCTCAAATTACTGGGCCTTTGTTCATGATCCGATTCTACCATTCAGGTGCTGTGTGATTCTGGAAAAGTTTCCTCCCCTCTCTGGAGCACTGTTGCACCATCTGTAACCCCATCTATAAAATGAGAGGCTATGTGGTAACAGGACACTCCAGATCCAGGAGTCTGTCATCTAATTCTGTCAATTTTCAACTTTGCAAATGAGACTGAATTTTGTGGAATTTCAAAAGCAAAGTGTTAGAAGGGCCTCTGAGGGTGACCTAATTAATTACTTTAAATATTTAAATTGTGAAATAAATTATAATACAGAAAATGTAGTAAGTACATATGTATACTTTAAAGAAGAAGATTAAAATATGTTCCCCCTTGGAAGCCTATTTGTTTGCAGCCCCCTAAAGTATTCCCCGCCCACATTGTCTCAAATTGTGTATTCTCTTGCTTTTCATTATAGTTTCACCACCTATGCTGTATCCACAAACAAAATATTTTTTAGTTTTGCCTGTTTTTGAACTTTATATTGATGGAATCATACTTCATTCATTCTGTGCTTGCTTCATTCTCTCAGTATTATATTTTTGAGATTCATCTATGCTGATGCTTGTAACTGCACTTCATTCATTTTTACTGCTGTGCTGTATTCCATTATCTGCCTACATTGCAATTGATTTACTCCACTGGTGAAGAACATTTGAGCTGTTGGCGATTTTTTTCTTTTACGGAAATGCTGCTTTGAACATTATTTGTGAGGCAATGCGTCGCTGTTTTCCAGTTGCTCCCATTTACATTCCCCGATGCTCATCATCACCAATACCGGGTAATGTGTGTACTACCCGGTATTGTGATGATCACGTCTTATATTAGTCAACACGGTGGATGTGAAGTGATATTTTATTTTGCTTTTGAATTTACTTCCCTGATTATTAATGAAATTGAGAAATTTATGATATGTTTATGGGCCATTTGTGTTTTCAAGATTCATCCACATGGAGCCTGTATCAGTATTGCATTCTTTTCTATTGCTCAATAATATTCTACCATATGGATGTACCACCTTTTGTTTATTCATTCATTGGTTGATGGATATTTGAATTGTTTTCAATTTTTGACTTTATGAAGAATACTGCCAAGAACATTCATATACAAGTTTTTGTGTGGACATTTGTTTTCATTTCTTCTGAGCATATATCCAGGAATGAAATTTTGAATTGTTGGGTCATATGGTAACTCTACCCTTAATCCCTAGAGGAACTGCAAGATTGTTTCCAAAGCAACTACACATTTTGCACTTCCACCAGTCATGTATGAGGACTTCAATTTCTCCACATTCTTGACAATACTTGCATTATTTGTTTTTTATTATAGCCATCCTAGTGGGTATGAAGTGTATCTCATTGTGGCTTGATTTGTATTTCTTTGATGGCTACTGATGTTGAGCATTTTCTCATGTGTTTATTGAATATTTGTATAACTTCTTTGGAGAAAGGTCTACTCAGATCTTTTGCCCATTTTGAAATTATACTTTTTTTATTAAGTTGTAAGAATCCTGTATATAGATAGTCTAGCTACAAGTCTTTCACCATACACATGATTTGCAAATTTTATCCCCCATTCCATGGGCTGACTTTCTACATTCTTCATGGTATGTTTTGAGGCATAAAAGTTATGAATTTTGATGATGCCCAGCTCACCTATTTTTCTTTTGTCATCTGTGCTTTTGGTATCATACCCAAGAAGGCTCTGCCTAACTGAAGGTCACAAAGATTTAACCCCATATATTCTCCTAAGCATTTTATAGTTTTAGCTCTTAAGTTTAGGTTTTGACTTGAGTTAATGTTTTTGGGTATGAGAAAGGAATCAAGCTTCATTTCTTTTGCATATATAGGTTCAGTTTTCTGAGCACCACTAGTTGAAGACTATCTTTTTCCCTATTGAATTATCTTGGTAGCCTTGTTGAAAAGCAGCTGACCATAAATCTAAGGGTTTATTTCTGTACTGCCAATTCTATTCTATTG